TCTTGATTGCATGTTCGATCTATCTCTGCCTGTAAGAGTTGGTAGAAATCATCTATTTCTTCTTCTTTGGCTCTGGTTGTTGGTGCATATATCTGGATGATAGTAGTGTTCACTGGACTTCCTTGTAAGCGTATGGATATAATCCTATCACGCCTCCATTTTCCTTTTCTTTCTTCTATCTAGACATGCTTTTCCCTCTCCTCTGAGACCCCTGTGATTCTGAATACATAGAACTTCTTTTTTTTTTTTCACATAGAACTTCTTGACTCTACTCCTTGCTTAAGATTTCATTCTCTGGAAGGTAGATCATAATCAGATCCTGAGTTATCTTTAGTTTTTCCTTACTCAGTTTAAAAAAGTACTAAGAGCCATCATGTTGGTAAAAAATAAAAGGGCTGCTGGCTGAAGTATGAAGAATTAGGAAGCTTGTGAAAAGTCATCATTTTCTCTTAGAATTTTGTAAAGAATGAAGACAGAGGTGATGAGTAGAATTAAAATCCTACATATTTGAATTCAGCGTGACCCCTTTGTGGAGAGGAGCTACATAAAAGTGTACAAATAAGGCACAATAATACACACACGTGTAGTGCCATGCATATATTTATGTTATAACATATTAATGTTTTAAGTATATACCCTAAGGGGAAATTCGGAAGCAGAGGAAAAAGTTAATGGCTTGTATGATTCGTGGAACTTTTATTTCATAGCAAGATTTATTTAAAGGGTGGCACATTCCAGATTGTACTATAAGCAAGTCTTGCAGTAGAGGGGGATATTGTACGTATGTTGTACATATGTTGAGAGCGTAGGTTGTTGTATGGTGCTTTTGAGTAATTTTGACCCATAGCAGCCCTATGTTATGTTATCTGGTCCTACATCATCTTCAGAAGCAGTGTGTTTGAGCTCATATTTGGAACCACTGTGTCAGTGAGTCTCAGTGAGGGTCTTCCTCTTTTGGTGGAACCCTCTTCTTTACCAAGCATGATGTCCTGCTCCAGAGACTGATCCCTCCTGAAAACATAACCAAGGTGCATGCAGTGAAGGATTACCATGCTTTGAATAAGGTTATAAATACTTTTCATATGCAAATGTTTATAATTAGCCTATGTAATTGTAGCAGCCCATTTCATGTAGATGCACCTTGCATGTCCAGGCTGGGCAGTGAATAAAAAGAACAAAACATTGGTGCTTTTGATTTGTGTAGTTAGGTAAGAACACTGAAGATTTCCAGAAGAAAACAAATCTATCTTAGAAAAAGTAAAGCTAGAGTGCTCCTCATTGTTAGAGGTCACATGGCACCTTTAAGACTTTCTCAAATGAAATCTTGGTCAGGAGAACAAGGAAACTGTCTCAGTTTGGGGAGCCATGACATCATCAACAAATCTGTGTTGTAGAAGCGCTTTAATAACTGTGTCAGTTGGTCCCAGATTGCTTTTGCTTTGGAAAAGCTTGATGTTTGTGTGTTCAGATTTTCTTTGCCACTACACTGTATACTGCAGACAATTTCTCTTTCTCATGAATATGAGTGCCTGTCTACCCTCAGCCATATCCTGATTTTTATAATATTGTATTGCCTTTGGATTATTTATGGTTACTGCCTTTATCCTCTTTTCTGACCAGCTCCTTACTGATCCTTAGACCATGTTGTTTTAGGGGCCACCCACTTATGCCTGACTCAGGTGCACCCTGCCCAATCTTGTACTGTCTTCTAATCTCTAACCACATTGTTCTATTCAGTGTCAATCCATCTTGTTAAGGATTGTCTTCTTTTTCATTGATCCTCTACTTTTTCAAGCTTTGTACTTTCTCCCCAGTGATTGACTTCTCCTGATAACATGCCCAAAGTATGTGGAACAGCCTATACATCTTTCAAATGAAAAAGTAAAAACAGAGTCTCTAAGATTAAACTTTCATGTATCTAAAGTCCTGTTAATCACAGAATATATGTAGTTGTTAGGTTTCATTGAGTTGAGTATGACTTATAGCAGCCCTATGAACAGACTGGATCCATGTCCTATCCTGTGCCATCTTCATCATGTCTAACACATACCTGTGCCCTTTGCTGCAGTCACTGACTCAGTCCATTTTCCCTGAAGAGTTTCCTCTTTTTTGAGGTAGAAAGGCTGACTTTCCATCTTTCCTAGCATGATGTCCTTTTTCGATGAATACCCCCATGACTTAAGTATTTGAGACAAAGCTTCGCCATCCTTGCCTCTAAAGAACACAAGGGCTGCACCTTCTCCAAGCCATATCTCTGTTTGTTCTTTTGATAGTCCACGGGCTATTCAGTAGTCTAACACCATAGCTCAGAAGCATCCTTTTTTTTTATCATCCTTTTTTTTTTTTTTTTTCGTTTTCCAGTTCTCAGACAAGTGATAGCAAATGATTGAAAAGACCATGGCCTGAAGTAGGCACACCTTAGCCCTCAAATTGACATTATTACTCCTCAATACTTAAGAGAGATGCTTGACTATAGACTTTCTCATGCTGTGTGTCTCCTAACTCTTGGTACCAAGAGTGTTGATTGTGGCTCCAAGTAAGATGACACCATTAACAATTTCAGTCTTTTCTCCATGATGTTCCCAGTTGGTTTAGTGGTGAGAATTTTTGTTTTCTTTATGTGGATATGTAATCCATATTGAAGTTTGTAGTCCTTGATCTTCTTCAGAAAGCATTTCAAGACTTCACTTTCAGCAAGCAAATTTGTGTCATCTGCATAACTCAGGCTATTGATGAGCCTTTTTCTGATCCTAATGCCACATTCTGCTTCATAGAGTCTAGCTTCTTGAACAGTTTGCTCAGCATACAGATTGAATAGATATGATACAAGGTACAGCCCTGATGCATTCCTTTCCTTAATTTTAAAATATACAGTGTTCTCCTGATTCATACAGTCAAGTGCTTTTGTTTAGTCAACAAAGCATAAATGGACATTCTTCTGGTACTCTCTGCTTTGAGCTAGAAATTATCTGACATTAGCAGTGATATTACTGGTGCCATGGCCTCTTCTAAATCCAGCTTGCACATCTGGTAGTTCTCTCTCAAATGTACTGTTCTAGCCATTTTTGGATAATCTTCATATTTTGCTTGCATATGATATTTTGATATTGTTCAATAATTTCCACATCCTTTGTATCACCTTTCTTGGGAATGAAAACAAACATGGATCTCTTCCACTCAGTTAGCCAAGCACCTATCCTCCAAATTTCCTGGCATAGACTTGTGAGCATGTCCAGGGCTGCATGTCTTTGCTGAAACATGTCAGTTGGTGTTACATCTATTCCTGGGACCTTTTTGCCAGTGTCTTATGGTTCAGTTTCAGCTTTTTTCTTCATTACTATTGGCTCTTGATCATATGGTACATCCTGATATATTTCAATGTTGGCTAATTATTAATTAATTAATTACAATGAATCTGTGTTTTCCCTCCATCTCCTTTTAATGCTTCCTGGAACATTCAAGATTTTCCCATACCTTCTGTCAGTATTACAACTTGAGGCTTGAATTTGTTTTTCAGTTTTTTAAGCTTGAGAAATGGTTTTTATTCTCTAATTCATCCCCCTGCACATTTCATTATAGTACTTTGCTTTGTTTTCTTGAGCTGCCCTTTGAAATCTGTTTAGCTCTTTTACTTCAGCGTTTCTTCTCTTTGTTTTGGTTTTTCTAGTACAATTTTCAGTCTCTTAACTCCATTCTGGTTTTTTTTCTTTCTCCTCTGTCTTTATTATGCCCTCCAATCTCTATTGTGCTTAATCACATGGTTCCAGTCAATGTCAGTGCATCCTATTGAGGATCTTCCTCTGTTTTGTTGATTGTCTCCCTTTTCAAGGTTTTCAGTGACTGACTTCTCCTGATAGCATGCCCAAAGTATGTGAGATAGAGTGTACATAATAAGAACATATGTGTCTGTTTTTATTCCCTTGATGTTTTCTGATTTTATTTTGTAGTTCATAAGAATTTCCTAAAAATAAATTTAAAAAAAAAGAATTTCCTGTAAATTCTTCTCACATAGCCTTCAATCTTTGATAGCTTTTGCAATAGAAGTTAAGTACGAGACCTTGTTACATAGTGTTGGAAATTGTTAGTCACAAAAGAGGGAGCTGTGGTGGCTTTGTCCATAGGGAGTTGCACCATTAACTGAGACAGTGTGGCCTCTGGTGGTTCAGATCCACCAGCTGCTATGTGGAAGAAAGAGAGGCAGTCTTCCACCTATATGATTTACAGGCTCCAAAAACACTGGAGGGGAGGGTCAGCTATGAGTCAGTTCCAACTGGACAATACGAGTGAGTAATGAGAAAAGATTGATAAAAGTACAAGTTACAGCTTTCCTCCCTTGTTCTTCACAATAAAGAGGGCTGATCACTGTCTGTGTTTCTTAGAATTTAATTTTGTTTCCATATATTTCACCATGATCTGTCTGCTTAAAAAGTGAAAAGAAAATAAACTATTTAAAATGTTTTATTTCTTCTGTACCAGTCAGACCCGATTTGATGGTACACACACAAAAATATAATAAAAACTAAAAAAAAAAAAAAAAAAAAAATTTTTTTTTCATTTGTTACTTCTTCAAAGAAACTTTTAAGAACCATTTACCAAACAGATTTTCAGAATTCTCTATGTTTAGATCTCTTTCTTTAAAGTAAAATGAAAACATGGTTCTTTGGAGTGGGGAGAAAAGGTTGATACTGTGAGCAGATTAGGAATGAAGTCCAGAAGTTACAAAGCCTGGCTTTTCTCAATCCTGCAATGACACAATGCTCATGTTTTCTTTTGTCTTTGAATGTTGTAGAGGGGTGTTTGATGCTTCCCTCAAGATGGCTGGCTTCTATGGACTGTACACATGGCTGACTCACACTATATTTGGCATCAACATTGTCTTCATACCATCAGGTAACAGCTATACTATAACTTCCATTGTGCTGTATTTAAAGATGTTAAAGCATTTTATATGCATTAGGAAATTTCTTTGTCAAGTTTAAAGTAATAAATTTTGTAGCTGGAGATCCAATTCAGATTAGGAACAAAAATTTGATTCCTAAAACGTTTCTTTTTTTGCTATATCTCCAGAATCTAGAATAATACCAACATGTAGAATCCATGGGATAAATATTTTTTAAATGAGTGAATGCACTTAGCATATAATTGAAAAAAAGAAAACCCTCATTGCTGTTGAGTTGAACATCAGTCAGTTTGGTTGACTTTTTCCCCGTGCTGTGCTTCAGCAGGTTTTAGAAATTCTACATCACACAGGGGATGATTGCCTATCTTTCTCTCTAGGAGCACCTGGTCAATTCACACTGTCTGCCTTTAGTTCCAAGCATAACTCTTTACCTGCTAGGCCCCCAGAGCTCCCTAATATTTATGGCTGTTCAGTACGTGTTTGAACTGAACTGATTGGTAGGGAGCAATGAGTTGGCAAATAGCTTCACCCCATTTGGAATGGTGTCTTGGGGTCAAGTTGAATACTTCTGAGGGCACAAAAACTACCTCCTTATCTCCCGAGGTCTGTCCTGATAACATCTTAATCTTTCACCACCGGGCACTTGTTGTTGTTGTTGTTGTTATGTGCCATTGAGTTGTTTGCGACTCATAGTGACCCTGTGTACAAGAGCCCTAAACACTCTTCTATCCTGTGCCAACCTAGCCATCTCAAACGCACTTATTTGCATTGCTCCAGTCACAGAATCGATCCATCTCATCAAAGGTCTTCCTCTCCTCCGCTGCCCCTCCACCCTGCCAAACATGATGTTTCTCTCCAGGGGCCAGTCCCTCCTTGCAACATGCCCAAAGTATGTCAGACGAAGTTTCAGAATCCTTGACTCCAAGGAGCATTCGGCTTTACCTTCTCCAGGACAAACCTGTTTGTTCCCCTAGCAGTCCATGGTATATTCAACACTCTTCTCCAGCACCAAAGCTCAAGGCATCAATTCTCTTTCTATCAACCCTATTCACTG